ACGATAGACTCCATTTCTTAAAATTTTATGATGACTAAGCGTAATTTCTTTATTTGGTTGTGATTAAGAGAAATAATTACAGGAATCACCGTTACTAAAATAAAAAATAAATTTTTTATTGATGGATATAGAAATATTGATTTTTAAACAAGCTAGATTGATATAATAAGTGTGCAGGAATTCTCTTTGTAATAAGAGCTTTACGAATCTATCTGCATATTATCAAAGTATCAATGGAAATATGAGAAAATTTTCTTGATGCACCAAATAAGTTTGAAAATAAGAAAAATATATCGATATTACCTAAAGCTCTAAATGGGTTAACGCTTTTAAAGATGGGTCCCAAACTTCCCTAAACCCTTTAGTTAAGGTTATCTATATAATTTAATTCTGAGTTTGTATGCTTCAACATTTTTGGTTGGTCAGAACCGAAATGTGATTCGAAAAAGTGAAAAGTTATCAAGAAATTGTTTTGTAGATTTTGAATGCGTTATGACGCGATTTGGGAACCTAGCCATGGCGAAAAAAAGTGACTGGCATGTGATTTAAACCAATCAGCGAAAATCAAAACAATCAAATAAAGCAAGAGATTTAAAGTAATAAACCTTTATTGTTAGTGTTAAAGTTAGGGTGGGTAAGACATTCTTTAAACTAAGGCCACGCAAAGTTGATTTTTCGTTTTGCATTACATGGATTTCAAAATTCCCGGTCGGTCGGTCGGATTTTTTTTATTTATTTTTTATTTTTTTAATCAATGGGCTCATGTTCACATCTAAGGTCGTAAAAGGTTATTTTTTGCTTTTTATAATATGGAGTCAGAAAATTGGGTTGGAAGTCGAATTTTTTTCTGTCAGTTCTATCGGATACTTTCGGGAACTAAGGTCACTGTCGGGTAATACCGGATTAATTTTTTGAAAAAATTTAAATGGTAAAAATAGAATAATTGGCACAATTGGGGCTTAAAAAGATATTTTGAAAATTTGAAAAAAATGGGTCGGCGGGTAATGCAAAACGAAAAATCAACTTTGCGTGGCCTTAAAGTTAATGAAATATTTTTTGTTAGTTCCTGCGATAATTGGTTACGGCATTTATTATGCAAGTAACTGAGAATGTCGTAATCGGAAAAAGGCTTAAAGTGTGAAATCTTAATATGCCGATCAGATTACGAGTAGCTGAAAATATTATTATGGAATGTGGCTTTACTTTTATGGGGTCCGTTAAAACGCGTGCACTTATTTGTGCGAATGAAACAAGAACAAAAAGGGAAATTAGCCAATCGGAGAACGTAAAATGTGATTATCCCGGATCAGCCCGACACGTGAGCAAAGCGAAGAAAAACACGAAAAAAAACGAAAAAAGCGAAAATACAAGAAAACGGGTGTTTATTAAAAATAACTGGAATGAAATTTTACATGTAGGGATGTAGGGAGTGATTATTTATTTCTATAGCATCTATAGTTGGCTTGATATAATTAACACAATTTATAATGTATATGACGTAACTAATTTCACGGACCTCGAAACTGATGACAACTTAATAAGATCAAAGGGTTATAATGAAACAATAAGAAAATAACGAAAACTATAATACAATTGCTAAGAGTCTTAACAGATTAAAATGACAATACTAAAATTATAACAACAATTGAGAAATCGATTCTTCTTATATATCTTTTATAATCAAGATATCGAAGTCCGAAACCTTATTAGAAGAGCGAAAAGGCTGCTCTTTTATACTTTCAAGGTACATTAGAAAACTTCTTTTAAAGGAATTTTGGTACATGACTAGTGTTTGACAGTTCTATACACAATGTCTATAACATTTCGAACAATTTTGGATTCCTTCTATCTACACCCACATAGTCCTATACCAACTTATCCATTTCCCGGACATTCGTTTAAGCATGTTGTCTACGATTAAACTCGACCTTAGTATTACTTGATATAACAGATAAACAGATAAAATAAATCTATATATATAAAAATATTATCACTAACCCTTCGCCCTTGCTTAGCCTCATAATATTCTCGTGAGTTGGAGTTTATATACCTCTATTATTATCTATATACTATCTAGTCAAGATTATAAAGGAAAGATCGTGACACTATGTATTCGACGAATTGATTTTCCAAATCTAAAAACCCAATATTTTATTAAGGGTAGACGGATTGGACATAGCTGCCGCACCAATTTTGTCACGGATGATTCTCGATTTTGATTGGCTAACGTCCGTGATCTACAAAACTTTGGCCCGCATTCATAAGATAAATTTAATATTAAAATTTTATACCTAACTTTTAAAACTTCATATCTTATTGAGTTTTTAACTAATTTTACTAAATTTACTATCATTAGAATCAGGAAACCCTATTCTACAAATTTTACATAATAGTTGAAAATAGTTTACTTAATAAAATTTTTTATAAAATTAAATATAAAAAAAAGTTGCCATTAAGTTTATATATAATTTTAAAATAGTACCTTCTATCCTTAAGATAACATAAAATAGAAAGTGACTTCATATAAATAACCAATATTTTATTTAAATTAAAATCCTAAAATTGACCAAAAGTGCCAAAGGCTGGTTTTCCTTGACCATTTCTCACATAACAAACATGGTTGTTACTTAGAAAAGCAGGTTTTAACAAATCAATATTTATCTCGAAATAATGCCCATTGCGTACTCTAATTAATGTGTTTATACTTAAAATAATATGCAGATAGGTGTTAGTTCACTAAAATATAGTTAGATAATGTGATTATTATAATTTTTTGCTTATATAAATATTGAAAGCAAGAAAAGTTTATATATTATTGCACCTACTGCAAAGCAATGGGTTTTTTGGTAGTTCATATACAATATATTTTTGTTGTTTAAAATATATAACATTTAATCTTGAAACTGGATATAAACTATATCTTTACCCAAGTTTTCTATTTTAAATGCATCATAATTTTCAGAGTATGAAACATATATAAAATCCTTCTGCAGTTTTCAAACTTTTTTGATTTGTTTCGAACATCAATTATCACTATACTTTTTATATACTTAACAATTTCGTTATATTCATCAGTAGAATTAAATCTATTACTATGTTTAGATATATGCTTACCATCTCTTAAGAGTTTTATTGCCCAATCCAACCCATCTACATAAAAATCTATATATTCATCACATCCAAAGACTGCTCCCACATCATATGAAAGAAAATGATTCAACTCTAATACTTACATTCCAACTCTGTAAAACTCCTTTTATCATATTTGCTCTAGAAAGTTCCTATCAAATCCAAATCCAAGTGTTTCTCTTGAAATTTTTTTGCCTTGTGTATTACATATTGCAGTGAAAATTTTTACAATAAAATGATATAATGACGAAGGTGTAGTTTCAGTACTATTTTTACTCCCATAATATTGTTAAAAAAATGACCTCTTAATAAGAGGTGCTGAAAAACATAGAACTTCTTCATCAGCCACAAGAATTTCAGATTTGACCAAATACTGGATACTTGTATAGAGAGGTCTGAATGAGATGTTCTATTTAAATAAATATTTTTACATATTTCTAACTGTTCAATAGTAAATTTTTTGATATTTAATAAAGCATAAAATCCATTGACAGACAAGTTAAACTTTTCGAATTTAGATACATGAATATGCCCTTCCACATTAACACATTTTCATGAATCTGTCACCTAATAGCTTCTTTAGAATATTGTAATATATGAAAAATTTAACCAACATGCCCTTCTGTTGCTATTTGAATATATTCAATAAATTTTAAAATATCACATACATCTAATCAAAAATATTTTTCACAGAACTTTTTAACATATTCTTTTAATTCTTTATAGTTAAATACGATATCTAAAAGATTTTTGTATTTTGATCATAGTATATCAACAAAAGTTGAAAGCCCTGCAGAATTAGCACTGTAGTATCCATGTACTTCAAATATAATAATATAAACATTTGTTATTTCTTGAAGACAACTTTTTATAGTTTTCCAAAATACTTCAGCACTTGATTTTTTATTTTCATTAATTACACACTCTTGTTTATATATCAATTAAACTTCATCTAATATTAAAATCATTGGTGCTTGCTGACATTGCTCTATCTATTCAATCCAACTTATATCGACAATTTTCATCCACTTTTTTCTAAATGTCTCTCAGCTGCAATCTATTCCCACAATTGATCACCAAAGCATTGAAACCCTTAAAATTCTATATTTTGAAGAGTATTCAAATGAGTTTACCAAATGATACTCCATAAGCTGAGCTAATAAAGTTTTTTCCGAGTAGGGAGGTGCTTGCACAAGTATAATATTTTTCTAATAAGATCTTCAACCAATGAAAATATGACTTTAGATCTATAGCTAATATCAGAATCACTAAGAAATATGCCTTCAAAAGCTTCATAATTTGCAGAATACAATAGTTTTGTACCACCAAGACTATCTAGTAATAGAAGAATAATTAAAAATATAAGTATAGCAGTTAAAAAGTTTTCTGGCAGAATTTGCTAATAGCCACTTTTAACAACAATCTATATAAACAGGAGTTAACCACCCAAAAATTTTTCAATTATAATAACTAGCCAATCAAATTTCAAGATCAGGTATAATATAATATGATAAAGAAAATTCAAAAACAAATGTTTGTTTTGTCAAAAATTACTGATAACTTGAAATTTAGTCTATGAAACCACTTTCTAAGTACTAATAAAAAAAATTTTCTTGCAAAACTTTGATATAAAAGATACTTTTAAGCTCCAACTTAATAGCAAATTACTAATCCTAACCTAATATCATAAATTTTTACTTTAAAAATTTTTGGGTGGCGATTTAACCAGAGTGCTTTTGCTAACAATCTATATATAATTAACACTAACTATAAATTTAACTAACACTAACTTTAATCTGGCTAATTTTGCTTTCAAAATGACTGTAGATGAAATTGGCTTATACCATTAAAAATAGCTTATTTATACCTTGCTAAGGAAGATAACTGATATTGCGATTTGCAATATTAATATACTCTTGGTCTATTTGTTTATCAAAAGCAAAAATAAGTAAGTTTATAAAAAAAAGACCCATATTATATTATAAACTTTCTACCTTTTAAGAAGTAAAACATTAGAAGATACTTATTAGTTGCAGATACTTGTATTATAACATGAATAATTTTTATTGAGAGTGGTTGTTGTTTATAAAAATCTTCTGGAATACTATCTATTAAAAGAAGTTCTACACCACTGAGATCCTGTTTAATGTTAATTTTATGAGACATATTATTAAGCATTTTAATATTATCATCATCATCAATTGGAATATTAACTTTCCACAGTGTTAATTTTCTGGGGTCAAGATGATTCAAAGCATTTTCTCTTGCCTTCATGATGGCCAACTGAAGATGCAAAATGGTCAAAATATCTTCAGTAAGATCAACTACAAAAGGTTCTTTCTTGCAGGAGCTTCACTCAGAATTAAGCAAAATAACATGGTATAAGGATGTCTGCAAATGCAAAAATAGAAAATTATACTAAAAAAAAACAAGTTTTAAATTAAATTTTTAGTAAAATATAAATAACAACCTCAGTTAATGACAAATAGACATTTTGCACATATATATAATATAAGCTGCTAAACTGGTTTGTAACTTGTTATGACAATAATAAAAAATTATAAAATTTAAGAAATATATAATTCTAAATCAATATAGCAAATATGAATGGTTAGAAAATTTTCTCACTTGAGGTATTTATAACTTATGACAATTTCACAATTTAAGTTATACAGTTAATCTTTTATTTTGTATTTGTGAAATTGACTTTAAAGAATAACAAGATAATGCAATAAGCCTTGAAAAATGATGTTAATTTAGATTTACTATAATTATATCAAATTTTAATTTAATAGTAAAAAAAAAGTAAATTGATTATATTAATAAATATTGACTTTAGATGGCTTTATAAGTTACTGTATAAAACAAAACTGTTTGATAAGTTTTAAAAATGTAATAGAAAAAAAAATAGTAAAATTATAGGGACTAAAATGTTTTTGTTTGGCTTTTAATAATTTTTTGATTAGTAAAAAGTGTGAATAAATATGAATAAATAGTAAGAAACTAAATTTTTGAGTATAATTAGGTTTGATACTATAGAGAGTGGAGTTGGTGAATAGTTATTCAAGCATTGATCGAAATTCAAATATCGAAATAATTTTCATTCATTGAGTTTTAAACTCAGTTAATCATCAGTCAAATTAAAATTTAACTATAAGGTTTGATAGTGATAAGCTTTGATTAATTAATAAATAACAATTTCATAAATTTTATTTAATAAATTTTTCAAAATAGCACTGTTAAAAACTCAATTGAACCAAGATGCAGAAGATTACTTGATGAGAGAAATCAGTTAAAAAAACTTTATGTGCTATATATGCAGAATTTAAAGAGCGATACAATTTATCTAGACAATTTTAAGTCAATCTACATCCAAATTAGTTTTTGTAACTAATTGAAATGAAATGTATGCTTACTGTAAAGTGTCATTAAATCTGTTTTTCATCAAGCTTACAAAGTCAAGATAATAAAGAAGTTACAAATTATCTTGCTATTCCTGAGCTTGATTTCAAGGAGATCAATGGTTTGGCAGTCTTTACAAAAATGACAACTTCTGATTTTAAGTGAAATGCTCAAAAATTTTTTGCAATCTTGCAACAAGCACACCAAGTGTTTTCAGATGCAGGAAATGTTATGAGTGCAAAAAGAATGTTATTAAAGCCAAAGTTATTTGGCAGAATGATATTTCTAAAGTGTAATATAAAAACAATTAACTTTACTATTCCTGATGTCTAGGATTAATGTTTGGTCATATTTATAATATAAATCACAAATTATAAGTCATGTAAATACATATTAAATAATGTAGTAGTAATCATACAGATTGCTTTTATTATGCATAAATTGTAAGTCATGATGGTAATTAGATAATGTAAAGATAATGGCACAAATGATAAATTTCATATTAAGAGGTTTCAATGTTAAAATGCGAAAATCTAATTTAATGAAATTGG